TGTCCCTTGAGAATATTAAATTCTCTTTGCATGATATGAGTGGGATATTCTGTATATTCATGCATACAATAAGTATGAAAATAATCAAAAAGATAAATTAGGTAAGCCTTACACTTAATAGGCAAAGGCTAAAAACAATCTGCCAGTCAAAAGGCAAATAGACAGAAGTGTTGGCATTCCCTTCCCTCTCTTTAGATTGTTTAGATTTCAAGATCGTCAAGGCAGGGACCAGTCATTTCATAATTATAAAATGCCCGGTATGTTCTTAGATGCTAGATTAATAATTGTTCTGTAAGCGGCAGCAGTATAATCTCACCACACTGAAACAAATATCTACATACTGTGAGGGGTTGGGTACGTTACTTATGTGGTTCTGCCCATGCTCAGTAAGGACTAGCCAGATTTAGGGAGAGTTATGGGTTGAAAAGTGGTTTGTTGAGTTCCTGTATAGCCTTTTGAAGCCAATTTCTATATTAAACGTACCCAAATATTCCTGATTGCATTAACCAATCTCTTTGAAGATTTGTAATCTGGATTTTAAAATGACTGCTATAAACTATGTGGTGTCATACCCATGTTGGTCCTATGATATTAGAGAAAGGTAGATGAGGTAATATGTTTTTTTTTTAACCAACTTCTTTTGATGAAAGATGAGCTTTCAAGCTGACACGGAGCTCTTTTTCGGTTCTAAGAAACATACTCAGTATCATAGCTTAAATACAAGGTGGAACAGATTGGTATAAAGTAGGTAATGTATATCTGAAGGGAACATTCAAGGTGTTAATGGTCTGCTTACCGAGTCACTAAAGCACTCCGTGAGGATATTTAAATGGTCAGAAAATGATCACCTGACAATGTCAAATCTTAAATTTTTTAAATTGCATTTCATGATTTGGCCACAAGAGTGCACAGTAGGCCACTTGGATTAATTATTGCCATATTTTCTGTATGAAACAGTTGAAAATTAAGAAAAAGAGGCTAGTAAAAGCAAAATCAGGTTAATTGTGTTCTCTTTCCATTTGAAATCTCTGTATAATACGATTTATTGCATATATAATTTATAGTGCAGACACAAAAGGATTTTGAGAGACATCAGACTGAAGAATAACCTATTTACAGTATGAAATATAGAATGTTTAGATTGAGCATTCAGTTTAATGTAGTTTATTTGCATTAGTCAGAATAAATAAACGGGTTGTTTAAAAAAGATCCATCAGCAGCACAAAGAGAGGTATAGTAACAAGTGCATATAAGAAATAAAATAATTTGAAATAGTCTGCTAGTTTTTATAGGTAAGAGCACAACACATGTTAATTTCCTGATATTTAAATTTAGTGTAATAAAATATATACAAACTTCTTTTTCATCAGCAGAGGGAGTCCAAGGGGAGAAGAGGAAACGAGATCCTGAAGATGAGGGCGAGGAAGATGATGATTAAGTCACTATAGAATCAAATAGGACCAGACTCTTAAGTTACAGAATACGCAATAGTGATCATGCAGATCTGTATGTCTCCATGTACCATAGATGTCCTTACAGAAGATAACATGTTCACTTTTTATAGGAAAGGTGTGGTTTTACTATTTTTGCCCCTTTTATCATTCCAAATAAGATGTAATAGCCTGGTAGTGAACATATGTAGAAAAACCAGTTTCAACCCTATAATCACTGAACCCATTGTCAAGCTTTCTCCTAAAATTTTATTTGGACTTCTTTTGTTTTATACAAGTTTGCTGTGTTTGTCATTATTAGTCCACAATTAAAAAAGATAGACTTTTACATGGGTTTAGTATGACTAATTTCATTTAAGATTTTAAAGTTACATATAAATTAAAATCAAAGATGCTGTAAAGTGATAAAGTCAAGTCTATTTCAAGTGAAAAGTTGGTTATATCCAATTGATCTGACACGTGCAACTTGGAATCAACTTGATTATTTTCACTTTTTTAAAAAAAGTAATCTGTGAATTATTTGGGGGGAAGATAAGCTTATGCCCTCTTTTATTATGTTGGTATTTAGGAGGAAGGTTTAAGTTTTAAGGCCTAGTTTCCATGTTTATTCTGAACATCAACTGTGTGCTTGGAGGACTTGCTGGATATGTCTGAAGATGTGTATTAGCTCTCATGCTTTAATTGAATTGGTGGAGATGTGGCATCCTTCTTTCTCCAAAATGTTTAGTCGCTGAATTAAAAAAGATATTTCAGACAAACTGAAAAACAATCCAAAGTTTTAAACAGGCTAACCAAAACTCCCTTTCCCTCTTATTTGCTCAACTTTCACTCACCTGGCTCTTGTTATATTGTCATGTATTAGTTCCCCAATGATCATAATCTTTGAGGTGAGACAGGACCTGCATTTCTAATGCAAAAACAAGCAGGTATCCCCATCAAACACACTTCTAAATTTTAAGGAAAAAGCCTTTATACATTTTATAAAGCAAAAAATGAGTGTGAGCTCAGTTCTCTCATCTTTGCAGGTGACTTTTTGAATTTTTGTATCTGGTTGTAGCTAGATCATTAAAGGCCCTATTTCAGCAGTAAATAGTTCTTATCTTTCTATCTTGAAAATCTGTAGGAATGTGTTCTACCACATGTATTCGGCTGCAAGTGCAGGAGACGTGCAAACCAGTCTTTTCTCTGGCAGACTGTTAATTGTGATTGGCAGATTTTAATAAATTCTGACCTAACAGACATTCTCACTTTCCATTTGAGCCAATGCAAAATATAAATTCAGACACACAGTGCTCCTCTTTTTGCAGTTGTAATTTAGATTTCAAACAAGGTATCTCAGTGCAACACTAACATTGTTTCAGATCCTCAACCAAATATCTCACACAGTTTTATTCAAGATACTCTATTTTTTTATTATATATCTTTCTTGGCTGACAGTAATTGTTTAAACTGGGGAAAGATATCAGGGGTATTTCCTGGACTTGTATAGTGGGGTCACCCATATATCACAGTTACTTGTAAATATTTAATAAGGCATTTCACACGCCAGCAAACTTTAAGGCCATGTCTACACTGTGAGTAAAGGGTGTGATTTCCAGCTTGTATACGCATACCTGTGTTAGCGATCATTGAGACAGCATGACTTTGAATAGTATTTTAAGCGTGGCTCAGCTGTGCTGAGTATGTACCCATAGGGCTAAATGAGTTTGTACTCAGCCTTGCTAAACCATACTGTTAACTCCCTGTGCTACCATGGCTGAATTACTGAGAATCACACTCCTAGCTTGCATAGGCAGAGCCTAAATGTGATACATGATTCCTAAATCAAGTTTAAGACAAACCGCATGAGAAAAGAAGTCCACAAAGCCCAATTTCTTGTTTTTTCCCTCAATAGAGCCTTAAATCATAGTCCATGTGGTTGTAAAGCATAACCAACTTTTAAAAGCATTTGAATGGAATTTATAAGTCAGTTGGCAAAAGATCTGGAAAAAAATTAAATGGGTTAACATTTTAAATAGAGATCTGTAAAGATACTAGAAAAAGTATCTTTAAATGGATATCTGTAAAGATACTTGGCAAAACAACATTTGCAACCACAATCTATGTTCCCATGTTTGCTGTATGAATATTAAACGAATTTTAAAAAATTAGTTAAATGCACACCCTTTTCGTCATGGAGGCTCTGTGTTCAAAGCAGTTGCTTTGTATTTATCTTTACTATCTCAAAGTTTTCCCCATGTTTGTCTTTGAATGTTAACTTTTTTAGTCGAAGCAAATGCTAAAATCTTCCTATTTACAAATATGTACTTAAAAACCTCTCAATATAAAGACTATATTTAACTGTCTTGTACTGAGGCATACACAAATTGTATGAAATACAGAGTTAAACTGAAATTAAATTATTTAATGAGATTTTTGTTGGAAATTAGTGAAGCTATCAACAGTCTTGTTTCAATCAACAAGTCGGCATTAAATCATCCAATGTTATAAAGGTTAAACTATTTTTAATTGTCCAAAGACAATTAAAGACATAAAACATGCAGGTTAAATTTTTTTTCAAACAATTTACAATGTAGTGCATCAGCTGCTGGTGACAAGAGTCAGAGCCTCACATGCAACTCTGACTTTCTAAGTAACTTTGTCTTTTCCACAGTGTTACCATTTTAAATATAGTTCCACATTTGCCAGTCACCTTGACATGTAAACAAGATAGCATAGCTTTTTTTTTTAAGTTAACACATAGAGACATAGAGCCTCCAGATAATTTTTGAAACTTTTTTGCTTGGTGGGTGGTCTCTTCATGCAAATATGTAGGGGTGGGTTTTATATTTTGTAGAGGTTTTTGTCCTATTTTAATGCTCTTTGTATGGCAGTATGTATATAGTGTGTTCAGTTCCTTATCAAACCCCTTCCTTAAAAACTTTGAAGTACTGATTTTGTGCAACTGTGTTTTGAATAAAGCCATGACAGTGTTAAATAAAACAAAACAAAAAAATCCTGCAGCACTCTTCTTATGATTTTTAGTTGTAACAATGTTTCTGCCCCCATGTGTGCTGTAAAATTTTAAAGTTTTTCAAACTGAATTATTTCAAATAAATTGAAATGTATTGTTGTATTGGATTAATTTTCTAGAATATAGCTTCTATTCAGTAGCTGCATTTTTTTTGTTTATATTGGAGAAGAATAAGTAGAATTTGCTATTTCCCGGTATCGTTCTTAGTTAAAATTACACTTTATTTTAATTATACCCACAATTACCTGTCCTCATAAAGTTGTAATACCATTCTGAGTTTTAAAATATATTAAGTGGTGTTCATGTCACTTGGGTTGTCATTGGGTGAAGGGAAATCAATTTTGCCTTGTATAATACAGTAATATCTAGCAGTTAGCACTTTTTGCAATAGAATTTTGAATTCTGTATCTGAGAATCAAGTAACTAATCTGTGAAAGGATGATTCCAAGAAGGCAAAAGACTGACATACTGATAGCTCCTACATACAAAAACATTGGTAGCTCCTATATACAAAGACACTATTTGCTACACCCCATATTGTCACTATCACAGAAGACTACCAAGCATCATATGAAAAAAACAACAAATGGTCTGGTAGCACTTTATAGACTAACAAAACATGTAGATGGTATCATGAGCTTTCGTATCCCCTACTCATAATTCCAGTCATCTGAAGAAGTGAGGTGTGCCCACGAAAGCTCATGATACCATCTACATGTTTTGTTAGTCTATAAAGTGCTACCAGACCATTTGTTGTTTTTTTCATATGATGCTTGGTAGTCTTCTGTGATAGTGACAATATGGGGTGTAGCAAATAGTGTCCCCTCATCTTAGGCCTCTTATTTTACCAAGAAATTCAGTTGAATTTTGTTGCTGAAAGTTTGCTGACTGAATATGATAATTTTGACACCTGTATAAACTTAAAATGCCAAGAGAATTGAAATGCTTTCCCAGATACACTCAATGCAGAAATGAGCGTATGAATGCTAGCACTGCCTGCCTTCTCTGAAAACTGATGCAATTCAACTACAGCAAATAGATAAATCTAGTTCAGTCCTGTAAAGTAAAATTGATAGAAGGATGACAGTTAAGAGCTTGGACTTTTTAAAAAAGTGGTTACTTGGATATCTCTTGGAACTAAACTAGCTCAATGTGTTACTCTTTCGATATAGGTACACTGAAGTTTCTTTCAGGTATGTCTTTAGAAAGCTTCTCCCTTTACTCTGCAAGGAGCTAGCGATCCCTTTACTTTTATTGTGAGGTTGATCCAGAAAGTAAAAATATTACATTGTGTGCATGTTAGTATATAGAAGAAAATTATTGTGTAGTAGTTTCCCTTTAAATACAAAAATAATGGGAAGACCTGAAACAGTGTTCTGAAGACGTCATGTTTACAGGCTAGTGACCTGTATTAACTTTCTCTTTAGAGTCTAATAAGCCTTTTTTAAAAAATCTTAAAAGAGCTTTTGTTTGCCCTATTATGATGTGATAGCTGCTGCCTGGACACCTTTAGGGAAAGTGGGGTGGTTCCCTGTCAGAGGACAGTTATGTTGGTATTAACTGTAAAGTATGGTGCTTACTCTTAAAGAACAGTTAAGGACTGTTCACAGTAAGGTTTGTAGTGTTACTAATGTCATCCATTTTGTCACAACTTGCATAGGAGCCGGCCTATGTCTACTTTCCCCTCATACTTTCTCTGTTTTACCTCCTCCCGCCCCACTTCTTTTGTCCTAGTCTCTTCTCTACCTTGTGTGACTATGCCCCATATTTTGCTCCCCTGTGGTGCCCTCCCCTTTGCTATGCCTGCTGTTTCTGAGTGGCAGGGCTGTCCCCCATTGTGCGTCTCTCTGTTCCCCCACTGGGTCAGTGCACGCTAACAAGGAGGACATAAAGCAGGCTCTTCTCAGAGATGCCTGTGGCAACTAAAATGGAAAAGGGGGGGGGCGCGTTGCCACATCGCTCGCTTGCCCAACCAAGCCTAGGGCTGCCCGAGGCAAGCGCTGATTGGCCCCTGAGCGCGGGAAAGCCGTTATCCACGGGTTTGCCCCAAAGGGGATGCAGGGGCCAGGCAACCACCCGCCGCTGACTGGCTGAAATTTGCCGCAGTTCTTCCCCCTCCCCCTCTGCCTCCAGCCTCGTGCGCAGCCGGCGCGCGGGGATTAAGCGTTGAAGTGACGCGAGCGCGCGGCTCCAACGGTCGCGCCCTGGCCCGCGCGCTGCCCGCCCCGCTATGGCGCAATGATTTGTTTCAGGGGAGGGGTTAAGCGCCCGCCCAGGGGCATAAATTCCACCTTGGAACCTGCCTGTGCGACATAATGTCTGAAAAAAAAAATATATTCCTGTCAGTTTCTTAAAAATATTTGTACTGCCCGCAGAGAAATACACCCCCCCCCCATCCTGAACTTCCTCCTCAAATCTCGACTTGAAAATGTGATTGGTGTTGTGGGAGAGAGTGCCCAAGGGATTGTGTTCAATGGTCATTTCCCTCATAATTTTAAAAGTGTAATTTGTCAGTTGCAGGTTTCACCAAAATAAACATCAAAATTAGGCAATTCTGTCAAGGACACACAATTTACAAAATATTTTCATTCCAAATCCTCTCTGAACACGTGTTTTTGTTGCTATCCCTCTGGGAAACTCAGACCAATCAGGCTATTGCTCCCTTTCCTCTGTTAGATTTAATAAGCAAGATGTCATGACTCTGTCACAGTCCCATTTGGGCACTATGGCTTTTATCCCCCCTCGGACAGACACCCTCTTCTGGTTTCTCTTACTTGCTAGCTGTTTTAATCTCTCCCCAGGTAATAATTTACCCACAGGGAAACATTTTAGTGTTCAT